ACGATGATCAAGACATACGGACAGACACCCAGGCAGCTCTTCAACGGCTCTCATGTCAGCAGGGCCGGTCCCAAACTCATGATGGAGGGGGAGCTGCCGGCAGCCATGGGTCTCCTGGTTCAGCTGGCCTTCAGAGAAACCCGAGAACAGGCCAAGGAAATAGTCTGCCCGGTAATCTTCTCTGTGGTTATAGTGACTCTGGGAGCCTGCTGTGCGCGGAGGAAGACGTGATTTAATGCATCATCCATGAAATGATCCGCTGCTCACCTGGCAATTTCCTCTTCCTCCCCCACAGAGCCCACTGCCGTGGATCAAAGGTTTGAAGTGGGGCGAGTACGTGGGTTCACCCTCTGCTCCAGACCCGGTGGTGTGTTTCAGCCAGCCGCACGGGGAGAGGTTCGGATCCCTGCTGGCTCTGCCAACGCGAGCCATCTGCGGGCTGTCCCGCAAGTTCTGCCTCATGATGATTTACAGCAAGGAGCAGGGTAGGACGCCCACCAGTCAGTCACACGTCAGCCCTGGATGCTCAGGGTGTTTGGACAATGGCCTGTTGACTCCATTAACTTTATGTTCCCTGCTCTATAGGTGTTCGGAGCATGCACAGCACAGACATCCAGTGGTCAGCCATCTTGAGCTGGGGCTACGCAGACAACATATTGAGGCTGAAGAGCAAGCAGAGCGAACCTCCCATCAACTTTATTCAGTGTTCGCAACTTCACCAGGTGAAAACAAGTTAAACTCCCGAGCTTAAAAAGCTCCAGAGCACCTGTTATTGAAAGACATTACTGGTGTCTCTTCAGTGTTACACAACTCTGCACTGCACCACCAATAGGCTGACAGGTTTCTCCTTTCCTCTGTCCAACCGCCTGTCTCTCTCTTCTCCAGGTGACCAGCTGCGCCTGGGTGCCCGATGGCTGCCAGTTATTTACGGGCAGCAAGTGTGGAGTCATCACCGCCTACAGCAACCGCTTCACCAGCACCACGGTGGGTTTCCATGGTGATGTCCCCCTCTAACCTGCCGCCTCCACATTAACAACCCACCCACCTCCCATTACCCCCCCCCCCCCCCCCCACACACACACACACCCCTTTAGACCGCCTCACCGTGCTCAAATGCTCAGCTTCATTAGTCACATCACAGTTGCCCTTGAAATACATTTCCACCGAGCCCACAAGTGGGATTAGAGGTCTGGGAGTTCAGTCATCAGAGAGGCTTTCAGACTTTCATCGGTCCCCACCAATAGGCATGTAGATGTCTCTGAAGGGTGTTTCAGTAGCAGTTGATTTGTGCTGTTCAGAAAATGCTGTGGAAGATTAATTAATGGAGTATTTTTTTTTTAAGGAAATGTTGAAACTAAGATAACTCATCCATCCTAACACTCACATGCAACTATTCAGACCTGTATGTCCTCTGTGTATGGTCACTAATATGTGTCTTGATTTGGAAAATGTCTTTCCATAGCCTACAGAGATGGAGGTGGAGTCTCAGGTTCACCTGTACGGACACACAGGGGAAGTCACCGGCCTGTTTGTCTGCAAACCCTACAGCATCCTCATCAGTGTCAGCAGAGATGGCACCTGTATCCTCTGGGACCTCAACAGGTCAGTGTGTGTGTGTGAGAGATATGGAAGAAGAAGAAGAAGGAAAATGTTTTATTCGTGTATTTTTGTGTGCGAGGAGAAATGTAAAATAAAGTGATGCTTTTTGCAACATGCAGAGTTTGTGTGGTCTTTCAGCTGCTATGTGTTTCTTCAGGCTCTGTTACGTACAAAGCCTCACAGGCCACAAAAGCCCGGTGACGGCAGTGTCTGCCAGCGAGACCACGGGTGACATCGCGACAGTTTGTGACTCAGGTGAAGGCTGCTTCGCTCTGTATCCTCTCAGACTTCATCATGTCACTTTTCCAGGCTGACACAATGTGCTTTGGTCCTTGATGTGAGTTAATGACACACGATTCTTTGCATTCAGTGGGCGGCGGCAGCGACCTGCGCCTGTGGACGGTGAACGGTGACCTAATCGGTCACGTCCACTGCAGGGAGATTATCTGCTCCGTGGCCTTCTCCAACCAGCCTGAGGGCGTGTCGGTGAACGTCATTGCAGGTGGGCTGGAGAACGGTGTCGTCAGGTGGGCAGAAACTTTTATTGTTACATTTTTGTGCTTGTTTTCTTCTCGAGACAATGAATTATTCACACTGATTGTTTGTCTTATTATGTCTGAAATATTTTCAGGTTGTGGAGCACCTGGGATTTAAAACCTGTGAGAGAGATCACCTTTTCCAAGTCAAGTAAACCCATCATCAGGTATCTTATCAGCGCTACAGCCGTGCTATTATTTGCTTTTATGCCCCTTGCCACCATTGTAAATATTCTTCGGTATAAATATTCAGTTTTGTTGTGTGGTGAATGCTGATGAATATGTCCTCTCCTGTGTACCTCAGCCTCACGTACTCATGTGACGGCCACCACCTCTACACAGCCAACAGCGAGGGCACAGTGATGGCGTGGTGTCGGCGGGACCAGCAGCGCATGAAGCTGCCCATGTTTTACTCCTTCCTGAGCAGCTATGCCGCAGGCTGACTGTGTGTCTGACGTTTACTACTGTCCAGTTCTCAGCAAGAGGAGCCCCTTCTCTTCTTCTTTCTCCTCCTCCTCCTCCTCCTCCTCCTCCTCCTCCTCCTCCTCCTCCTCCTCCTCACGGAGAAGGACGTGTCAGCATGGCCTGAACCTACTGAACCCATCCTGACTTTTAACTAATGCCATCCCCAGCTGGGCAAACTCTACCACAGTTACTCCCAGCATTAAGAAATAATAATGAAAATAGTATTATATGTATATAATATATATATATTTATAAACGTACTGAAGTGGAATGTTGATGGGTGAATATTTGGCTGGCTGCAACAGACACTTTATACAAAATGCATTTCTGAGAGTGTGTTGCTTTGTGAAGTCTTTTATTATTTAGTTTCTTGCTGTTGAGTCCGGAGTTTTTGTTGTGCAACGATCTTTGCCTGATGTTGATTTAGCTGTTTCCCGGTAAGCTGCTACCGTCTGGCCAAAGCCAGACCCAAAGTGTGAAGACCCCCCCCCGTCTCTCACCTCAGCGGCACTCGGATCTCCTGCGGCGAGCCGTCTGACAAACTGCTCCCGTAGCTCGGCGAGTGCGTCGCCCTGACTCTGCAGCAGCCAGGAGGGAGGGAGCCCCTCCTCGCGTCTGTCACAGGGAGACGTCCCGCTCTGTGGGAGTGAGACGCCGCTCTGCTGGGCTGTCTGCTCCACTCAAGTCTGAACACTAGTGTCGCGGCCCTGCATCACTTCGTATCTGAGTTCAGTGGAGGGATGAGGGGGATGTCAGGATGAATTGTTCCTTGTGTTGCCTGTTGGTCTGTCCTACTTTTGCATGCTAGAATGATGCTGACCTTGACTGTGTATGTGGATGTGACATTTCCTGTCATGATACTTTATTAAGACCTGCCTTGGTTGAACCTCTCTTTTTGCATTGAGAAATGTTGATGTTCATTTATTTATTAGAAACGCTGCAGAGGCTCATCTTTCTTTCTTTCTTTCTTTCCTTCTCTTGTGTTTTACTGGTTTAAACTGTCCGCCACTCAAATGCACTAAAAGCTTTTCACTACTTAATGTAGTTGACTGAAATTCTGAAAAAGCAAATAACAAACAGCCTTAGAGACCTAAAGCTGGAGAGGCTGAGGGGAATCTCCTGAATCTACGAGGCATGCTTAGTACCTGTGCAGCATAACAAAAGGTAATAGTAGGCGGGAGGGTGTGGTGAGGAGCATCATGCCCTGCAAACTGTGTTTCCTGCGCTGATGAAGTTTACAGCTTATTTCCAAATCTTATACACTACATTGATGAGTCTGGGAAACTGTTCCTTTCCTTAACCCACCCATTGATCAATGCAGCTATTCTTTACATTCCCACTTAGCACCATTTAATTGAAGGAGAGCCAATGATTTGTTGTCTTAACATGAGCTTTGCTTTGCTTTAATTCCAGTGATAAATGTAATCTGTAAGCAATATCAGACATGCAATAGGTTGTTTTTTTGGTCACATTTCACATGGGCATAAACCAGGAGTTTGTTTTAACACAGCTGTGAACAAAGTTATTGTGGCTGCAGCAAGCCTTCTGTGATGAAAAATGATGTCTTACATTTCACACTTGGTGTTTGACTTTTTTTACGAGAAAGGGAATATTTCTTATATCAAGACATCATTCCTATTGTGTTGTTGATTTTTTTGCTTCCTTCTCAGCCCATGTGGACCCTTGCTGTACAAGACATGATGTTACTGTGTTTGTGGACTGTTTTTTCATGCATGTGTACATACATTTCCTCTCTGAAGTTTTTAAAAGTCTATGTCTATAAGATCCACAACCTTTCTTTGCTCTTGAACATCCACATGTGAGATCACATAAATGCCCCCCCTCTCCCTTTTTTTTTTGTTTTTGTTTTTTTGTTGAGAAAATGACCAGAAGGTGAACATGATAATGGACAGTGTTTTTTGTTCTGACACTGAAGGAAATGTTCTCCTGTTGATAAGTTAAAATAAGCATAATTTAAAATCATAGGCTTAAATAGTGTCATTTAGGACTGAGGTTCTGAGAGGTCATGTTTTATTTTTCCTTTTGTTTGTATATATGTGGGTGTGTGTATGTATGAACAAACCAAGTGATGAGTATATTATAAATATATAAATATTTGAAGAAATGTTGGTACATCTCGTCGTTTGTGTCCGTTTCTCACTTTGTGTGGAGAAAAGTGCGTTCAGGGGCATCCAAAGGGGGGGTGGGGGGGCGAGATGTCAACGCTGATGTAAAAAATGACAAGGGGAAAGCCTGCAGACCTCAGGTGCCTTCTGCAGCTATAAAGCACATTTGAAAATCAGCAGATCCTAATTTGACTAATAGGCTGTCCCGGTGCGTTTAGGGCCAGTTTGTACAGTAGAAACATCCTGGCGTGTTACTGCTGCAGCTCCTGGTCCACTGATCGAGTGCTCCCTGCCCCACAGCCTGTATCTGATCGTCATACAGAGGTTTCCCCCCCTGCTGCATGCGTAACATCTCTCCAGGTCCAGCCGTGGTGCTCACCAAGACCTCGCCGCTTGGATCTCATCTTCCTACACGGAATACGCACGACTCACGCAGCGAACCGCTGAGGCGAAATTAAAACGCAAGGATTTACCTCCCCGGGTTCAGTCCAGACCGAAACGAGGCTGGGATTTCCTCTTATCATTTGATATTTGAAAGATCCTCTTTTTTTGTGTGCGTGTGTGTGTGTGCGTGTGTGTGTGTGTTGGGTGGAGTCAACCCGGAATTCTCCAAATTGGAAAACCATTGGCACATTTCAGGTAGGTCGGCGGCTGTAGCCTACATTAATCTGCTCATAGCCGAGCAATGCAGCGAAGCATCAGGAGGTGTTTTATATATAATTCTTTAATGCAAAATCATTTGTTTTTTTCATGATGTGTGGTTTGCTGTTTTCTGCTCTAACCAGGGCCGCAGCTCGCACGGTGTGTTGTCCACAATTTAATCCCCTTAGAAAATGAGAGTCGCCCATGTTTGACAGATGCATCAACAATTAGCATCGTTACATTCGGATAAAACGGTGCAGACCCCGTTAAAGCCCCGAATGCAGCCGTGTGAGCGACAGGGTGGACGAATCGATGGGGAAAGGGCCTGATAGCTTCCTGCGAGGGTGTGATTAAAAGCTATAAATTGGCTTTAGAGCCATAATGGGTGGGATTGGAGAATTAATTTACCTGCTGCATCCCCCTATACAAAATATCTGCTTTAATAACGTCCGTTTAAATACAGTTAAATTCGGATATATGCGATGGAAATGAAAGAAAGAATTAACATTAAGTGTGAACTGATTCAACAGCACCCCACCTCAGTGAAATGCTTCATATTTTCATGCACATTATTATAAAACACATCTGTGATCAGGTGTCATCTCTCTCTCTCCCTCCCTCTCTGCTGTGGCTGCCAAACTGGGACATTTCAGGAGCAAGGGGGTCAAGGGGCCTAAAATGGGAGCAAGATTTAATTGTTACCCTGGTAGATGCACAGAAAGGCTGATTCTTGCAATGGAGCAGATTAAACACACTGCAGTTGCATTAATACACAATGTGGAGAAAGTTGAAGGCGCAGATATCTGTTCCAGTCTGTAGGTGCAGGGGCGGAAGAAGGGAAGTTGCAGGTTTGAAATCCCTTGGAAGGGCCCAAGAACAGATAATTTAAAAGGAAACAAGGCAACAAAAATACCTCATACTGAAGTGCCCATGAGCCCTGTGGGGAACCATGCAGCTCCAAAGAGGTGTGTGTGTGTTTTGATGCTTCCCTTCTCTGTAACATCTCCCCCAGCCTGTTATAAAGAACAACTTGACCAAAGAGAGGAAAAGTAATCATGCATGAGCGCCGACTGAAAAATGACAAACCGCTGTCCAGCTGCTACCTTCAAAGCTCTCTTCTTCAGATAAAATGGAGCTTGGCTGCTGTCCAACAGATTCCCCCAGACAAAATGGGGTCCTTTAAATAAAAAAAGGTTGTGGTAGAGAATGACTGCTCCAAAGGTGGGGGGGCAGAGACATTGCCTGGGGTGGGGGTGGGGGTGGGGGTTGCTGCTTTGTGGATTTAATGTGATGTTCATTGACTCTATGTGTTTCCTCTTTGTGCCATGCGTTTGGCGTCACAGGAGCACCATGAAGGACGGTATCGCCAACAACAGCACAGCCAGCATCTCCCACGCCAGGAAAGCTGTGGAGCAGCTGAAGATGGAGGCCTGCATGGATAGGATAAAGGTACAGGGCTTTTATTTTTTAATCTGTGTCTGTGAGCAAGTGTTTGCATGTCTTTCTATTTGGCCAAACATGTAGTCACACACTAATCGTTGGAAACTGCCTGTTCCCTTTTCATGCAACTGTAATCTTTGTTAGTTTTTTTAAAGAAAAAAAAACTATTTTCACTCATCAGATTATTAAACTAGATATTGCCATATTATTATTATGTGACAGCTAAACATAAATCTTTGTAAGCTGTAATGTGATTAATTGTTACACTGACTTATTTTAATAGCAGTAAAATAGGTGTGTAAATGAATGGGATACACGAAGGGTAAAAATTTGTATATCTAACCTCCACTGATTTAGACACATTGAGTGTTTAGAGCTGTATGAGTCTTTAGCTCCCAGCAAACATTTCTTTCTTTTTTTCATTTAATGTCTGCATGTAGCACAAAAAGCTGTTTTGCTTGCTTAGAATTGGTAACATTATCGTATTTGCCTGACATGTCTTCATATTTGCACACAAATAAATGAAAGTAATCATTTATTTAACTCACTTGGGAGGGTGAAACACTGATGTTCATGTATGTATGTATATGTAATCATCCACGGCTCTAAATAGTCCCCCATTAATACACTATTTAGTCCTGTTTGAGTAACATCTGATAAAAACTACAGTGCCCAGCTGTTTGGAAATGACTGAGCGTTTTGTTTTGTTTTATTAATGAAAGTAGGCTATATATTCATGAACTGTTTTCAAAGTTACTTCTTCATTAGGACCAAATGGGCTTGGGGGCCGAGAGTGACGGGAAGGGAACGTTTTGAGAGACGGACTGACACATTGTTGGTTTTGGTCATTTCATGGAATTTGTTTACTGTAACAACAACAGAGAATATTGCCATCCTTATCAGTTCAAGCTTCATCAGGGAAAATGTTGTTCCTTCCTAAAAAGAGGTCCGAGTTTAACAGGTTTATTTGCTCGAGCCCACACTACATGTGCCGGCATGGTGACATCGTCACCCTCCAAACACAAAATTAAAGTCTATAGTTGGAGATTTTGTGAAATGCTTATTCACATTCTTGCCGAGTGTCAGTTGAAAAGACTGATGCCAATCTTGTGTCTACGGTAAATATGAAGGTACAGCGAGCAGCCAGCTAGCTTAGCTTAGCTTAACATAAGGACATAAAACACGGTGAAACGGCTAGATTGGCTCTGTCTACAGGTGTTAAAATCTGCCTTCCATCGCCTCTAAAGCTTAATTAATTACCACATTATGTCTGGTTATATCTAGTTCTTTTGGAAGTGAGTGCCCAACTGGCCAAGAAATAATCTGGTACACAACAAAATAAAACAAAAAACTGAGGTGTTGTTTTTAGACACAGTTTTGGTACAAATCAAATAAACAAGATATAATAATGTTAATTGGTGGGCTTTAAAGGTGCTACTTCTTTTTTCCAGTCTGTGTGCTAAGCTGAGCTAACCAGCGGCTGGCTCCAGCGTCATATTTACTGAACACTGAGACTTTGGAGTGGCATTGTTCTTTTCATCTACTGTAATTCTCAGCCACAAAGCAAATAAGCGTTTCACTAAATGTCGTACTATTCCTTAAATGTAGATGCAGGAACAGACAGCGTATCAGCTTTACACTCCTTAACAGTGACTCCTTATGTTGATTCCTGCTTCCAGTAGTGTGCACTCTTTGTCAACCCAAACTGTATATTGGATGGACTACGAGTAAACCATCACCATCATCTTGCATCTGTCCTCCACAGACTCTCTGTTCTTTAAGAGTACTCCACTGATGTTGCACTCCTGTAACCTTATCAGACTCACGATGGACAGTTTAACAAAAAGGATTGAAATCAGCGCAGCAGGATAAGAGATATCATTAGTAATCCACATATTGTTCTTCCTGGTGCCTACATTACCCACAATGCAACTCAACCGGTGACAGATCGTACAGAGATTCGGGTAGGGAGCAGCTAATTTGGCCTCGAGCCGCTAGCCTCAGGCAGAGATGAGTGGCAGTAACTCCACACCCCCAGACTTTTTTCATTTACAAACCTGTAGTCCTCAGACCCTACCGACACCGGCGACATCACGTGAGGCAATTTATCTGCCACAAAAGGCTTTATACAAATTTTCTCATATATGTAAACATTCATAATCCACCATAATTAGAGTACTGTAATTTATTCCAACAAGATGACACCAAAATAAATGTCTGTCAGCTTCGTTTTGGTGCAACGTCTTCTGACAGGCGTCACACGCAGCCTCAGTTCACCTTGAAAGCTTTGGTGTCGCCACCTCTCTGTCAGAGTGGATCAGCTGTGTACAGCTGGGAGACCCAAGCAGCACCAGTGTGGTAACTGCGAGGGGTAAACCCAGGGGCACAGTGGGATACGGTGATTGTTGACCACTTCTGACAGTAGTTTCCTAAAAATTTGGGTCATGTTTTCTGAGTATGATCATAGAGATCGTCCTCGGTTAGCACTTTCTCAGGTCTCAGTCTCATCTTACATTGCAATTGTTTGATATTGGCAAATGTGCAGCAGACTTGTGAGGTTGAAACTCCCTGTCGCAGCAAAGAAAATATATTATTAGATAGATAGATATTAGATATTTAAATTAGTCAGTGTTCGCTTGTTCTATATAAAAATCATATTCCCGACACCTATAACCTCCTGCAGCTCCACCAGCCACCAGTTATTGTGAAGCAGTTCAGGCCTCATAAAGAGTATGTGTCCTCATCAAACAACGCCTGGTTAAATATTGACTTTTGAGCCGTCTTTATAGTTGAGGTCAGTCAGCATGTTTTAAAATGTCATAATACTGTTGCTGTAAATAGAGATTTCTGTATTACTTTGATTCATTAGATAGAACCACTTCAAAATCATCATATATTCACCCAAATAAAAGGCAATTTTACAATAATATGTTTTTGTAACATATTCTTCGCACCAGTGTTTATGAATGACTTCTTGTGCAACTTAAAAGGCCATGTCATCATCTCATTTGGTATGCTCCTCATGTGCTCCGGGAATGATTGCCCCACAGCCCCGAGGCTGTTCGCTCAGCATTATAGCCGGGCCTGGAAGCCTGCCATACACCATCATCCCTACTCAGCACAACAAAGGCTGCTTACAAGAAAACCTGCTCTAAAACTAAGTGATTATCCCCAACTTGTAATCAGGGTTCGGAAGATGTCTTACAAAGGTCTCTGATTTAACCTACAAGTTGACTTTTTGGCACATCTCATTTAAATCTTTCACTTTTCAGTCAAGAAGTCATTTTTTTTAGCGAATGTTAATGCCCAGACAAAACTGATAACCTAGCTACACACCCGTTTGTTCAAGTGCACAGATTCCCCTTACAAATATAATAATAAGATTGAATCCCCTTTCCCCAACCCCCCAGTACAAAGCCATAAACTGAATGCAACCCATATCAATATTGCCATTAAATAGCAAACCAGAAATGAACCTTGAAGCCTCAATGTGTTCAGCTTTTTTACCAAGATTTAATAGAAATGTGAATAGTAACAATGTGTGGCATTATTATATCAGCACAATGTTGAATGCAGTGGTAAAGATCCAACCTTTAAGTACTTTTAGGTGATTAGACTCAACCTCTGGCTGCCATATTGGAGCTCTTCCAGTTTTAAGCGAGCCTGCGACTTCGTCTGTTTCAACAGAATTGAAATAATGTAGTCGATTTCTGAGCTGCAACTTGAGACACTGAAATACAACAGTTTGCCCCTTGAGTCTCCTCTCAATGTGAGACTAGGACAAATGCCACATTCTCGTCAGACCATACTAAATTTGGGCGGCTGTGGCCCAGGAGGTGGATGACAGGGTTGGCGTTTCGATCCCCAGCTCCTCCTGTCCACATGTCAAAGTGTCCTTGGGCAAGACACTGAACTCCAAATTGCTCCCGATGGTCAGGCCAGCACCTTGCATGGTAGCTCTCTGCCATCGGTGTGTGTGTGTGTGTGTGTGAATGGGTGAATAAGAGGCAAAATTGTAAAGTGATTTAGATACAAAGCTCTATAAAAATGCATACATTTACCATTAATTTACCATATACCATAACAGGTGAGTGGAACAAAATTCAGAGGTGGTGAAAAGAATTACAAAAGTGTCAGCAAACTGGGAGCAAAATGGATTAATAGAGATTATCGCTGGCGATTACATATAAAAGAAATCCAATATTAACACTAATGATACTGTGAGATGATTTTGAAATGTTAGATTTTTGGCTATGTCAATATAGTCAAATTAACAGCAAGTTTTCTCGCTGATATGTGGCTAGCATAACAAACATCACTTTGGATATTTGGACACCAGTCTTAGCCGTCTCTTTGTTGTTATACATTTACACATTATATTCAGGCCTACAGCCAGTTCTCTAGTGGATTCTCATCATGGTGCCAAAAGACACAATTGGAAAAAATTGGTTTGTGAACCAGAAATATGTGTTTTCCATTTCCAGTTAGTTTGAAATGGAAAGAATAAATGCGCTGCTACAACTAGTGGGCAGAGCCATCATGACAAAAGGAAATAACAGAACATCCAAGCATGTCACTTATGGGTCACTAAGCAAGAAAAATGGCACCAGCATCGAGCGTAACAAGGCCGTTGTTAATTTGCACTTTAAGTCGTACACTGTTTACTGGTAGAATGCTAAATGATCCATAATAATTTGCTGTCATGCCCAAAATAGTGTCCAAGGTAAACACACTAGTTTATAGTATTGCTGAAGGTGAAAGGTAAGTAGTAAAAATTATGTTATGTTAAATGAGCTGAGAAGTGTTCACATCACAAAGAGTCTGACTAGATTTGACATGTTTTATTGTCACCTGACGCGTCAGACTCAAATGTAAACTAGTCTTAAATGTCACAGCTGATCTATATCTGAAAGGCTTTCACTCAGCTCCGGTGTGGGTCTGACAAAAATGTATGCTTTCTGAATAATTGACTTCACAGTCTCATTTGGCTGCAGTGTGTTTGCTCTTATGTGAAAACTTGTCAGGAACAAAGCAGCTGTTTTTTTTTTTAAAGACAGACAGCCATGACTCTTGATAATCAGGCATATTTGAGTTTATACAAGGTGTTTCATCAGGCCAAAATGTCCTATTTCTTTAAAAAAGAACATTATTCTTAAAGTGAAGTAAAATATGACATTAGTAAAGTTTGGTTTTAGCCAACTTTGAGCACATTTATATTCGGTTTTACTATTTTTTTCAGTGCTCACGTTTCACGTTCAAAGAAAAACTTAATGAATGCAATAAGGATGGATGTTTGTACTGATTAAGACAGCAAGCTCCATTACGCCTTAGGCAGTTATAAATATTATATCTGAGGTATTATAAGATTTTTGTCAATTCAGATCCTCAAGTCCTTTGACGGGAGAGTTAGTGTGTCAAAATTATGAACAGCTTTAGTTGCAGCATGATTTCACAGCTGTATTATTTCAGCAGTTGTTGGATGATTGATAGGCAGGCAGCTGTTTGTGCTTTAAAAAAACACTTAGCACGTCAGATGTGGAGATCCAAGAAATTCTTTGTTAATGGCCTCAAAAAAGAAGCCACTAAAGTAGAACGTGACTACAAAAGAAAGCAGAGAAAAGTACAGCGAAAGTGGAGAAAACAGCCAGTTGGCCACGTCTGGCGATCCCTTAAATTTAATTAAAGGATCTGATGAGGGAGAGTGTGTATCAGTGACAAGAGCAGTCTCTCTGCTGCTGATTGAGGGATCACCACATTCTCATTAATTGCTCAATCAGCCAAAGGAATGTGATCTGTGCTAATTAGAAGGACTCTCCTTCCATCATGGGGCTGCAGTGTAATTACAGTCAGTCTGGGCCTAATGACATACGCTATGCAATACCACTTTTTCTCCTGTGGGGCTCTCGTTCACTGTAGAAACCCTGGCTGCCGTTACATGATAATATAATTAATGTATTTACTTTGATTATGAGAACAACTAAGCTGTTTACTTGCATTGCAAGACAAGGCTTTGTTAATGTTAATGTTACCACTTTGTGAAGGCTCGGATACTAGATACTAGATTTGTGCCTGAATTAGGTCAAATACAGGACATTTTAAATAAATATGTAGCTAAACTAATTAAACATTTAAATATGTTATGTCTTCTGAGCGAGTAGATAATTTTTAATATGACTTTTAAGGTGACTAATATAACAGCTATCTGAGTAAGCTCTTAAAATCAACCAGTTACACCAGAATAAGTGTTTTCTGTGTCATTAGTTTAGTTTATGACCAAATACCTGCTAAACCAATCACATTCAGCCTCAGCTGTACTTTAGTGGGAATGAAATGACAGCATGCTAATATGCTAATATGCTAAACTAAGATGTCCGAAAATGGTAAAAAAAAAAAAACATTATACCTGCTAAACATCAGCATGTTAGCATTGTCATTGAGAGCATGTTAGCTTGCTAACGTTAGCGTTGAGCTCAAAACACTACAGTAGTGGTTTCACAGAGCTGTGGACTCATAGTCTTGTTTCAAACTTACTGGTACAGCATGAGGTATTTCAGTGGTTCCCAAAGTTTTGCTGTGTGTGACCCCTTAAAAAGAAACAATTGACCCCCTCAATACAGGTTATGGCCTTACGGTGGACATGATGTCTAAACAGTATCAACCACAGAGGGATTTCTTTCTCAGAATGCTTCATTTGAAGGATTTCTAGATGCCCTCAAAATATCCAGTATTTCACAAGAACAGGAACAGAAAAACATAATTATGTGTAACAGAAATATGTATGTTTTATCGTCCCTGTAATTATCTCGAAACTCCACAGATTTGTCTTGGGAATCCTTGAGGGAGTCCCAAGCCCCAGGTGGGGAACCACTGAGGTAGAGATACAGCAAGTAAACCTGAAGGGATTTTGCTTCAAAGGAAATAAGATATAAAAAAATACATTTTCTGGAATTTATTTTTAAATAGCTATGGGAAGGTGTCTAACAAGGTGAAAGGGTAAACTTGCATGTGCTATTCTGTATTTTTCTTATCATCAATTCCCATGAAAGGACCAAAACCAACAATGGATTGTTCCTGCTGACAAATGCTTCCCATGTAGCCAAAGCCTGATATACCTCATTCCTCTCTACCACCGTTGTTGCACTGGATCAAATACTTTAACTTTTACTTTGAATCCACAGCTGAAAATAGCCCCCAACAAATGCACTACTAACTCCTGTATGATTAATTTCAGAATTTTTTAAAAAACTAAATGTATCTATTTTTAATAGATCTACGTTGTCAGTATGAATTGGCTTGCGGTAGAGTGCCACAGGGTGGGAAATACAGAAAGAACTGAGAGATGAACCAACAAACTATTGGTTTTCATGGGATTTAGTGAAAGTAAGAAAAATACCCCGGTCTCATTGTTCCCTTTTAAAATACAGAAATCTCTGCACCTGATATTGATCAACAACCCAGCATATGATTTTATGCTGTGAGAGAAAAAATAATAATGTAATAATCCATGTTAAAGACTAAAGCTGAAAAGCAGCATGATGGAGTTTATGCGTTGTGTTCTCTTGTGAGAGCAGCAGTGGGTGAGGTGAAGTGCCAGGCAGGAGATCAGATGGCTCGGTCCTCCGTGTAGATCCCTGAGCCCTCACCGTCCCTCTGATGCAGCTGCTCCTCTGCTCTCAATTTGCGGCCTCCCCTCCCGTAACCTCCCACTCAGCTCCCAACTAGAAACCCACATTCACATGCACTCTGGCCATACTGTAAAATTTATAGTCACTGTTTGACTTTGAAAAAGACAATATGCTACTTTTGTGTTGTTAGCCCTCATCAGGGCGGTGTCTGAGTTTGTTTCCAGTTTCCTTATAGACCGTCTGTCAGTCAGTCATGTGACTCGTACATCATCATAGTAATCACCATCAAGTAAACAAAACAGCATTACTGTCAATGTGTAATAGATTTTACAAAATACAGTATTTGCTCTTAAAGGATAAAGAAATGATAAAATAGAAATGACCATAAATACAAAAACAAAAATACATGAATGATTAAAAAGGTTAAACCTCAATTTTTAGTCATGCTAATGGCGTCGTGCTGATGATTTTGGTGACCCACTGACATTTCCTCTAGCACCTCCTTCAGGCTAAACTAAAATGGTGAACATGGTAAGCATCATACCTGAGCATCCGCATGTTAGCATTGTGAGCATGCTGATATTAGCATTTAGCTCAAAGTGCTGCTGTACAGCCTCACAGAGCTGCTAGCGTGTCTGTAGACTCTTAATGTTGTGCAATACAAAACAGCTGATTCTATACTCTTTCAACCAAACATTTTCAAAACACAGTACAGTCAATTGTATTCAATCTCTTAATACTTAGAGGGATAAACCTAACTACAATTTAGTTAAGGTTATCCATGTGTATGTATGACTTGGCTAACACTTTTACTCCTAAACTACAGTTCATATTATTCTCAAAAACAAATGTAATCCAGTGAACTTTACAAAATGGCTTTAAGTCAAGTCCTTATTTGACCTTTTGGGCTTATAAGAGCTGAGTTGAAAACCCATAAATGCCTCCCTCTGAACAAGTAACGCCTCTAAATCTCTCTTTCTCTTTGACAAAGGTATTTTGTTAATGTAAATGATGTATTGAAAGGATGAGACCAGAAGATTCATTTCCATAATATGTGCAAGTTCCTATATCTAATTGCAGCATCTACAGTGTATAGTATTTTTATAAAATTATTTTGGGGACATTTTATGCCTTTTTTTAGATAGCTACAGGAGAGAGATGACAGAAAATGATGGAGAGATAGAGAGAGAGATGCAGCAAAGGTCCCTGGCCGGATTTGAACTTTTAAGTCTGATGAATTATATATCAGAAAACCAGAAACAAACAACCTGATGAAGGAAAGACAGCTGAAAATGTTGTAAATGAAGCATGGTGTGCTGGAGAAGAGTGCGACTGGTTTAAATTTTCATCATCGAAGATAGTTTTCAGTTAAGGAGTTGGAGTCAGGAGGCATCTCTTTGTATTTACGTTTGTGTAATAGTTATTATATCATAGTCAGCAATGCATGTCCTTTTCCTTTGTCTCAACCTTTCAGGTGTCCAAAGCAGCTGCAGACCTGATGGCGTACTGCGACGCCCACATACGCGAGGACCCCCTCATCATGCCCGTCCCCGCCTCCGAGAACCCTTTCCGGGAGAAGAAGTTCTTCTGCACCATCCTCTGATGACCTGCCGGTAGAGCTGTACGGCTGCAGGCATGGCGTTGCCTGGCTTCTCTGTCTTCACCACACCTGAAGCTACTGGCCATAGGCGTTGAGTTGAGTTTTGCCAGGTGGACACTCTGTTGTTGGTCAGCTCTGTCCTGGTGGCTAAAGGTTTTGGGGGAGTCAGCTACCAAACTGGCAACCCAGTGAGCGTATCATGTCTTGTTAAATAGGTTCGTTATTGCTTTGTTATTAGAGAACAGCCTTGCTCAGTGCTTAATGAGATGAGAGATGTTTTTTCTTCTTTTTTTTTCTTAAATTGTGCTAGATCTTAACATGCCTCAGGAAACAGAAATTTGCCCAGTGTCTATGACTTTTTTAAACAGTTATTTCCCTTCCCTTTATCTGAATAAAAGAGCGTTCATCTTTGTATTATCTGGAACATAATTTAAGTTAGTTTTTTCACTTCCTTTCAGTGAACAGGTCTGACTATTTGTAGCACCACTTACCGAAAGTACTACTGAAATTTGACACTTCCCTTATTAGTGGCTTCTCTTTTAATTTTCCTCCGGAGTCACCAATGAACCTGCTCGTGTCAGTCCAGAAGTATCTGTTCCCACGGACTCAGATTAGAGCGTGGGAACAGAAACGTTATCTCATATAGTAAATTATTTCAGTTTGTGCAAAATGCATTCGTAATATGAAGGAGGTGGCTACACATCGGCTCTGCTGCAAATAAATAAACAGAGTATTTATTGAAAGGTGTGGAGCTAACGTTTCAACAGCTAGATGAGTTCTTCAGAGTTATCACTGTGCAAACAACTCTTAAGTCAAAAATAATTTATGAATCTGCCACCTCCTTCCCAGGCCCGCTCTAATGCATTCTACCTTTACTGCGCTGTTTGATTTACTCTTCATATAGGCTACTTCAAATCAGAGAAACTATCACTTAATCCTGCAGCCCCCCCTCCCGACTGGATCTTCTCCTCTCATGTCCTTAATGGACTCATTTGTTTTCTGGGCATGTTTCCTGAGCCTGATTCTTTTTGCCTGTCCTAGAGTGAATGGCAAGGCCTTTGACATTAATGCCAAACCAAAGGCCTGCATGTTTCTCTGCTCCTTTTTGACAGCCTCCTCTGTTTCTGAGGGCCTGCCAGTCTTTTAGAGTGTACAGTATGTTACAGTGCCAATTTCTGTGAGAGCAGTGTGATCTTCGCACTGCGGTCCCGCAGCCTTTTTTTCCCTGTTTTGTTTGTTTTGGAATAAAAAGCACACTGTCGAAACATTTCCTTTACATGGTAGTTGAATAGCATTTGCTAATTTTTATGATGAATTGTTATGATCGTTATTAATATTGTTATTATCAGTAGTATTATTGAATATTTGTTGCACAGCACTGACAGCTAAATGACGTGTAGTGCTACTAAGCTTGTATGATACTTAGGAAAAAACATTTATAAATCATGCAATTATTGATACTATCTGAGTATTTTTTAAAAATAATGGTAAGGGTCGTTTACATAACATGATGCCTTTGGTGGTTCAGGCTTTTTGCATCATCGTTTCTGTAAATTTAAAAGACATGTCCTCTTGGTACTTGAACAGCCATCGCATTAGGAGTCAAACTGATACTGGACTGTCACAAACACAAACTATTAGACTCAAATTGTTTTCAGGATCATTATTGTCTTTTTTTCCTAATCTAAAAAACCTGAGACTGACCTCAGGGTGCTCCCAATGACCTCATGTTAAGGATGGTGCCAAATCTGGAACAAGAAATATAACGGCTAGAAATGAATATTGCATGGATTTATTTCTATCTAAAACGGAGAGAACTATTACGATATGAAATATTGCCTCTTCATTGACTTTCTGGGTGCTACTCTGCACATAATTGGAGTCCGGATATGTCGACAATGTGCAGCTGTATTCATGAATGGTATTATCGTTTTGGTAAAAATAAATAAATAAATAAGCATTTAAATAGCAGGCTTTGTAAATCCTTTGATGGATCAAATGAATTAAAGGAAAACGGCAACCCAAATGTGCTGTGTCTTCAATATTTCTGCCTCGTGTCTCTCACTGACGTCTTGAGCTACAGTCTGTCTGATCACACCGATAACATAAAAGGCTGCTGCCAATCGTTCTGGGTCACACAGAGGAACATGATATTCTGGTGTGAACTGGAGACCTCCTGTGGCTGAGCTGAACCACAAGCCATCTGGATGCACTATTCATGTGTTGTGGCATTTTTTAAAAGGATTGTGATTCAGCTCAGCCTCAGGCAGTTTGCCTTTTTACACAGTAGACAGAAGAAAAAGCATCAGCCGACACTGCAGGTTGCACAAAGAATGTCCCTTATAATAATTCAGGGTATCAGCCGCTGACATGAACATTCACGTTTTCTGCTGTAGCTGTTTCGTGTGTCCATCCATGCATGCATTTACAGTCTCACCTGGGAACAGACTGAAATTACAGCTTCTTACCAAGTTTAATTGAATGTGGTTGTTTATTTTTATACACCTATTATCTGACTTTCAATATCTTTTACTGCACTTTAAGATCTGGTGATCATAGCAGAGTGAAAATAGCTTGTTTTAACCTACCATTTGCTATCATAGGTCACATTCAAGTTAGAAAAACTGCCAATAACTTCAGTCATTGCACACCTTTGATATATGACATTAGTTAAGACAAGTCAGGTTATTGATTTCTCTGAACCAATCCCAAAGCAGCATGGATGTAATTAAAGAGAAACAAAGAGGAAGAGGGTTTTTTAAGCCTTGGCACAGCTGTGGTGTGCATTATTTTCTCCATTTATTTCACGTCAAAGGCCCTGAAAACCGATTTTCACGATGAATGATGGGGTCCTAAAGTTAGAACCCTTTTTTTGAAATGTGAGATTTCTTTATATCTTTTTCTTTCTTTCTTTCTGCACAGTTGTCACTGTTTTGAAGTGGGCAGGACTCAGTTTGGAAAACATGAAGTCACAAAGATTTTGCAACATTTGAGTCAGAATATGATCAACGGTGGTGGATTGTTTGGTCACTGTCAAAAACATCTCGTCCAACCACATCCAAACAGTCCCGATGAAGCAGATTATTTTTGAGTGTTTATAAATATCTATGTAATTTATTTTTCTAGCTTTAAATTTTTATTGTTGGTTAATTCATCATGACTAATCGAGGTTATATAAGAATACTTAACAATGACAAAATTAACAAAAATTTGCAGTCTGCACAACATGCAGCACCCTGTTTCATTAGGAAGTCTATTCAGAAAAAACATTTTATGGGAAAAAAGTGTAAGTACTAAAATATGAAAAATATAAGTTAATGCACTAAAATTAAAAACAGAAATTCAAGAAGCAGGTCTCAGTAATAGTGTGTGCATGGTTCACAGCTGGGACCATACTGGATTAAAAGAAATCTATACAGATCCACAGAAATGTGTGGTTAGTGCTGAGTGTTTTGAAGGCTGCAAAAAAAGACATATCAAACATTGCATATGCAAAAGGTTGAAAGAGAATAAACAGAGCATAAATAGGTTTTAACATATGAATAAAAAGTTAAATCAGAGTTGAGAACATAAACAACAAACTAGGATAGAGGAGGGCTGGAAATCCGCAGTAGAGCAGGATGTTAGGTTGTTTCAAGAAATCCTGAACAGGCTATGAATAGCCTTTGCCTTCCAAATGAATAATGCGCTGCAGAGATCATTGTAATGAGTATATTCATGAATATGACTCCAAAAAGAATTATATAATGCACAGGAATGTAATTATCCCCAGGGCAGTAGGTTATCTAATACAGAGAATCTGTGCTAGAACAATTATCCAAATTGAGCAGTGAGCCCCCAAAGTGTACGCAAAAAACACGAGAATAGTAGTAATTTCTGATAAGATTATCTACAGTCACAGCATGCTGTGGTTTTATTTCTACTCATAACACTGGCATACAGTGTGTTACATGCCAGTGTTTCCCATTACATTATTATTTTTAAGGGGTGGTGAAGTCTCCAAAATAACATTTATGCTTCACAGGAATGAAATGTCTACAAGCACTGCAGCAGGCACTCTGGGTGAGGTTGTCCACTCTTCCTCTCCAAACACTGGTGCTCTCAGAGTCAGAAGAAATCCCCTTCAAACATCCCTCTCTATGCACAATAGATTCTATTTAAATGATTTATGTGCAGCACAGAGCAATGGGTTTAATAAAGTTCTATTCTAATCTTAAAGCCACAACATGTCACCTGGGTTTTAGAGGGATGAAATGATTCATATGTTAATTTTCTGCTCTGCTTAGAAGGTTTTTCTCATTTCATAAGGTAATCACAATGTGGGCTGAAGCAAAACAAACCACAAAGACTGAAACGTCTTTATGAGATAAACAAGGAAAGGTCCACCTCAGCTACACTGGTTGTAGCTGTAATCAGTGTTTCAATTTACTTCTAAAGACGTGTGATAAACTATTTATTGTGCTTGCTCTACCATTCTGTTTACCTTTAGGTGGTTTGCATGGAAACTGAAACTGCATGATGCACGCATTTATCTCTTAATATGTTATACAAAATGATAGTAGATGTTGTTTAGTGCAGAAATCTCAATTGGAATACATCATATTTTAAAGGGGCTCTCATTATATTTTCTAACACCTGAATATTGCGTATCATAGTATATGTGCAGTTCATGCTATATGATTAATACGAGTCACGACACAAACAGGTGAGACACAAAACAGAAACAAAAGCATGTGGTGTACACACAAAAACAACAAACAAACAAAACAACTCAGCTTATATAATAGTTTACTTAACTTAACATTTAGTTGACTAATAGTTATCTCTTTTTTTTTATCTGCCATACTTTCATACAAGTTCATACAACTGCAACTACTACTGCAATACTGCTATTACTACTACTACAACTACTGATATTAATAATAATAATAATAAACTGTATCTAGAGGTTAATTATATCTTCACAAATGTTTATATTTTACTGTAGCTTCTATATTACAATACTGTTCTGATTGGCTAGAGAGCGTCGAACTCCATCTCCCATGGTGCACCGCGGCGGGGCTCCTCGTCTACCATTGGTCTGTCTCTCCGAGCAGCGGAGGCAGACATAAGGCAGTGGTGAGAGCCCGGCGGAGAGCTGCGGAGCTGAAATGAAGCGCACACTCGGAGCGGCTCACACCGTACAGCGCCGTGCGGCTCAGGAAGAGGCTCCGCGCCGCGAAAGCTGAAGGCTGCTCCGGCTGAGTGAAGGGCTCCGTCCATGCGGAGGCTAGCGCTCATTCTGCTGCCCTGTGCTGTCGCCGTCCTGGTGCACTTGTGGTTGGCACAACGACCCTCCTCCACCCCGCTGGACAACAACATACACACGGGTACTTTATAGCCACAACCCCGGGCTTCTCCTAAAAAAAAAACTTTTTTATTATTTTGTTTTACAGCCGGGCTGCTTTCTAACTTTGCTTTTACCACCCCGGAGTAACATGTTTGTGTGGGAACAGGTAGTTTGTGCTCGCCCGCTTGACTACGTGTTTCCGCACTAGAGTGTGTGTGTTATGTTGTTTTAGTGAAGAATAATGTGAACGTAACAGTTCAGTAGTGTTGGGCGTTGCTGGGATAGTCTAACGGCTAGAGACAGAGAGACTGGAGCGAGCTGAGCATGGCATCTCCGCCTTGTTACAGTGCAACTAACTGCGCTGTGTGCTGCTTTGAAATGGATTACCGCTTATTATCAGGGGTGCAGCGGAGGGTCAAACCGCTTTTTTTAAACAGAGGAAGATAGTTTAACTACCTTTTGATGCATCGGTCATTGGATGCATCTTAGTCAGGTCAGTGCAAACTATAAATACCAGAGGAAGCTGCTGTCAGGGTCAGGAATGTAAAGCAAGTGTGATTTAAAGTAGGCTAGTTGCCTTATCTTAATGTCACCAACCAAGGGGTCATATGTTAGGGTAGGAAACGACCTCCTTTTTGTTTGACATTTGTTTTTCATGCATGGCTTTCTGTTTCCGATACAGATGAAGCTCTACCTTTCTGTGAAGTTTTGGTGGGAGTGCTGTCAGCGAGACATCATTATGAACTGCGACAAGCGATAAGAGAGACCTGGCTGGGCTACCTCCGAGATCACCCCCACTTCCAGCACAGGTCTGTCTGGGGTGAAGTTCCAACTTTACCACTTGTTTATCTTTCTTTTCTTTTGTTCCAAGGCCAGATTCATACAGTGGAAATAAAGCCTGCGGCTGGCAGCAAGTAACTGACTGCTCCGTCAACCCTTTTATCTTTATGTGACCAGAGGCCAATATTGTTCTCTCTTTCATTCTTCCTTTTTGTCCATTTCCTCCTCCATTCAGCGATCTGAGCTCAGATAAGGTGTGATGGCCTTTAAGCAACCCTCAGTAACCATGGCAACGGAGGGTGGATAGATGGACAAGCTTCAGAAATATTGCAGCCTAATATCGCACAAAAAAAAGGTGAATGAATTATAGCGATAGTGTTTGTGCTTATTTCCAGAGTGGGGGTGAAGTTTATTGTGGGTGAACATGGGTGTCCCATTCCAGAGGAGGACCGAGAGGATCCGTACTCCTGCTCCCTCCTAAACTTCACTGAGCCAGGTAAAAAAAAAAAAAACTCACACACACTAATGAGTGGATGTCTGTAGCTGTAATATGGAAAGATGTATGTCAATAGCGGAGTGAAAAGAACCAGTGTTCAGAAGTAAAACCTTTATTCATGTTCACCCACAGCTCAAGGACACCGTTCTTTTCCTTTCCATACCCAAGGCCAAGGCAGAAACCTCTTACAGTCACTGCAGCCGTACCTAGCACTTAAAGCTATACCAAGCACTCACGCAGTATAGGAAATAATTGAACAGGCTCACTGTCAGATTGAACGTCCTCAGTAATTGTTCTGTCTCTCACCTTCACAGAGCCGGTCCAATTCAGGCGTTTCACTACTTTTCCTGGTCGGTTCAGTGTCTGCTGCCTTCATGAAAACATAATTACTGCTCATCGGAATAGGCTTTTTCAGACGATGGCCTTTAGGGTCACGGTGATGTTTTATTTTTCCAGCCCATTCTCTGCTCTCCACCGTGTTAATGGTTGCAAGTATTGACGTGATTTGTTTCAGAATCGGAGGCAGGCGGGCAGCTTTGGTGCGAGATGCTCGGTGTGATTGGAAGAGAAAGAGACAATGGCTGCCTTTAAACACAGTTGGGTACCTGACTCAGGATTCAGGTCAAAGCACACGTTAAGCGGACAATTAATTGTTGTTGAAATTTGTTTGTGTGCTGCATTTCCCTTTGGGACTACAATAAGGTGAATGCTAATTAGCTTCTCAGACTTCTCAGACAGAGCTTTAGTAATTCTGTTGCTCACACTAGGTGTGTGATTGATTTGATTTTAATAAACAATCAATTATTTAAGTAAATTCGCTGGTTCCAGCTTCTCAAATGTGAATATATTAGTTGTTGAATATTTTTGGGCTTTTTATAAGACAAAACAAGCAATTTGAAGAAGTCAACTTGCGCTCTGGGAAAACGTGATGGCTAGGTTTATAGACCATAGTTCATCTATTGATCAAGAAAAAAATATGCAGATTAACCAGTAATGTTTGTAAGTTGCCTGATTTACTGTTGAGCTGGACACGATCCAGAATATTAAATACCTTTAGTTGTTGCCCAATATTGAAAAAAAAATCACCAATAAATTCTAAATAACACTGACTTTGCTAGTTAATTATTTATGATGTATGCAAAGTTTGATTCATTTTCCCCAGAATAAACAAGCATGCTGTCCAGTAGCAATAGACGCACTGCTGTTATTAATTTTGACAAGTGAGCACAAACAAATCATTTATATTTAGTGAGCTTAGGAATATTGAATATATCCTCACACACTGGTAAAATCCTGCGGCTCAGTTCCACTCCGTCATTGTGAGAAACATTTGGTTTGATGAAGTGCGGCTTTCTCTGTGTTTGATTGTTTGCCTCTAATTGTCTTTATTTTGGATTGAGCAGCGGAACTTGTGTAGAACGCATATAAAGTAAAAAGCCTGCTTCCATTTAACAGCCTTGATCTTTTCATTGATCTCCTGGGTAATAAACTGCTCTTTTGTAATTAACAAACCACACTCACGAGCAGAAGCATGCTTTGAAGACAGCGGTCCTAAGAACCAGCTCCTCAAAGTGCTGATGGTGTAGCTTTAGCGGAGTCTGCCTTCTTCTCTGAGCGCTCTCCCTCTCCCCGAATCGCCCGGTCTTCATCACCAAAAAGAGGCGGTCAGCAAGTTGGGATCGTAATAAATTTCCCTTTTCCTTGTGCAGTAATCTCTGCCCATCCCTCTGTCCCAGGGGCAGGCCAGGATGCAGAGATAGAGATTGTAACGTTGTCTGACCCCTCGACGCTCGCTCCCTCCGACGTGTCGGCCATCGCCCTGGATTTCAAGGTCCTCCACCCTGTGGTGATCACCAGGCTGGGGGTGTTTACCAGCGGGACCCGGCCGGAGCTTCAGAGCAATGTGACGGTGAAGCTTCTCCAGCTGGACCAGGAGGTAACAGAGCCTCAACCTGTGAGCCTAGAGGCAGACCCAGTGCTGGTCCTGTTCACTGCCTCAGTTATAGATAAAAAAATAAAAAATAAAAATGTAGCTCCTTTTGGATTACTGTCTGTAGTAGAGGTTTTCGGTGTAGATATGGTAAATTTGCACAGAGATAAAAAAAAAAAAAGAAAAACATGAATTCTTCAGGAATTCTTGATGGATAAAATTTGTGATTTTTGCAGGAGGCTGTGGTCACTGCTCGCTTCAGTGCCATCAGTACAGGGACCATGGTGAACGGGGTGTGGTACAAACCAGTGGAACAGTTCATCTTGCCTAAGGTCAGTTTCCACATCTACTCAGGGCCATAGCCAGGACCCACATTTTTCATAGTTAGCTGTTTCAAGTTTTGTTTAAAAGGAGCAGTTATAAACAAAATAACTTAATCTTCCCTATAATTTGTACCAGATTCCTGTACATAATTCTTTCCAGGAAGCAACCCAGGAAATTACTTAATTAATTATTTCCCAACAGAAAATAAAACTAAATGCAATAACAAGGCCCCACAATACCATCAAATAGCAACCAAACATCATGTTAAAAAGCAGTGCTTCACTGCTTTCTGTGGTTGAAAGTTTCATGTTTGCTTTGTTGCATCTGCAGCCAAACCCAACAGTGATGTCACAGGGTGCTCGAGTACACCTGTCGCAAACCAGGGTAAAAACAAGATTTTCAGGGGGTGTTTAGTTAAGCTTAAGTAAAAGTGTACTGGCGAATGTAAGTTTGCTAAAACCAACAAATCCAATGCAGATGACATGAAGTTAGTGTCCTCAATAGCAGCTACGGTGCTGCATACCGTATTATATTTAAATAGTGTTTGATAGAACAACACCATGCTACATGTGCAAAGAATAAAATGTCTGTTTTTTAATCCAGGGTTTTGAGGGGACGCTGGTTTGGAAGAATTTGGACTCTGCTGGTCTGACCACAGTCAACTCTTCCTCTGTGCAGCTCAATGATGGAGGAGGTGTCCTCAAGATCTCCTCCGTACGTACTGGTGTGCTGTCAAATAAATCTATAAAGAATATTCTCTCTAAAGTTTTCAAGTAAAGGAAAAGTTCAAGAAGTTGAAAACTTTTTCTGCTGTTTCTTTGAATTGCAGATCGCAGAGGGCATATTGCCTCATAGAAGTGCGCTTGGATTTCCCGGTTTGGCTGGAGGGTTCACATTTACTATCTATGGTTAGTCCAGCAACAGAATTAATTTAGAGCTTTTTGTGAAATCCGTTAACTTGCACTATGAGTCAAATGTTGTATTAAAAAAAAGTGTCCCTATATAAGAATAAAAAAAAAAGACTCACCCTGGCAGGTTATGAGATTAGCTCCTTTTTTGCCTCAGGGCTTTTGCATATGTGTCAAATGGGAAATTAAATTTTTTTCCTCGCTCTACCCAGTTGTGTTACGTTGTTGACTGTACCCCCTGCATGTGTTTTCATTTGAGCTTTTCTGAGAATTAATTTGTAGCCATTTTGGGGGAAACAAACTGAAATTCAGTTTCCAGTATCTCTGAAGACAGAACTAATGATCCATTCTGCAAAATGTTAAAATTTTATCATATTGTTTATCCAGCCAGTGTTTTACGTTATTATCCCTCAAAAGTGCCTTCATTTCTTCAGACTTTGGGTTAATAAAAAGTTAATGTTACTTTTTAAAATCTCATTTTGGACGGAAAACGCTTTCAACACTTCCCCCAATTTATCAGTTTTTTATGCTTTTTTCCCGTATTACTCCTACCATCTGCCTCCCTACGCCCACCACCTGCGTGTCAGATGGAGACGGCCTGACGGGGCTCCTGCGAGGCCGCCCTGCCAGGATGGAGCACCATGCCTCCAGGCTGAGGGAGGAGGACGCCGCCTTGCAACGGGAGAGCCTCAGGCACGGCGACATGGTGTTCGTAGACGTGGTAGATACCTACAGGAACGTGCCTTCCAAACTGCTTCAGTTCTATAAATGGTATGCCAAGTGCTAATGGCTCGATTCTCTGTCTCAAATTGCCTTTGCCCTCTGAGGAAATCAGCAACCTGAAATGAAAGTGTGTCGTTGCCTTCTAAATGTCTCACTATTAGAATCATGACTGCAATTACTCAGTCGGGGGGAAAAAGTACAGTTGTGAGTCATCAGGTAGCAAAATATGCAGAGTGGTCTTTAGTATTGACTTGGCAAATAGGTTATTTATTTGCAGGACCTCCTGCCCTTCACTCTCAGCGGTATTTGATAGTAAATCCACTCAGGGATATTGCCAAAAACCAGAAGGTGGGCTTTAATTAATTTAGTAAATTCCATCTCCTGGCAGGTCTGTGGGAAACGCTGACTTTAATCTGCTGCTGAAGACTGATGATGATTGTTACATCGACGTGGACTCAGTATTAATGAAGATTGACCACAAGGGTCTAAAGCGTAGCAATTTCTGGTGGGGGAAGTAAGTACACTTTGGTGTCTGATCCTGTTGACAATGTATAGTTTGCTTGTCCACTTGTGTTTGCAACTTAACTGTCAGCCGAACTTTAGATGAAAGAAAGCTCTGTCAGTACGATGACGACTCAGGTGAAAGGGAGACAGGATGTGATGATAATGCACCTTCCCCTCCTGACCCAGTTTCAGGCAGAGCTGGGCGGTGGACCGCATTGGGAAGTGGCAGGAGCTGGAGTACGCTAGTCCAGCCTACCCAGCGTTCGCCTGTGGCTCAGGCTATGTGGTCTCTCGTGACCTTGTCCAGTGGCTCGCCAGTAATGCAGATAAACTGAAGGCCTACCAGGTAGAGTACCCAAGAGCAAGTGACTGTAACGGCATGGGGTCAGATAACCACAAGTATAATGTGAGGAATCAATGCTGGATGACTTGTTACAGGGAGAAGACGTGAGCATGGGGATATGGATGGCAGCTGTTGGACCACAGAAATATCAGGTAAAAAAATGTTTTGAATATGACGTCCAGATCTGCTAACTCCAGTGAAGCACCATGACCACAAATTATTTGGTTTGGTTGATTCTAATATATTTATAAAATGCAACTGATCAGATTTTGTTAGGGATAGACCATGAGGTCCTACACTTTCCATCATTGTCCCTGGTGTTTTCACAGTCCATCAACATTCATGAAGATGAGACACACATTCAGTCTGAAATGTTTGAATATAGTGTAGAAAAAGTAGAAAGTCTGTTCATGTTTATGATCCTTATTTTTTTTTCAGCCCACAGACAAGGTAAAAAGTATCAGACAAAAAAAATGACATCATAAAAGACAACAGTTGTTTGACATGGTTCAAGATGCAAGCTAACATCTAACTTGTGCGAGCTAAAATACAAAATCATAATATACTTGCCATGCTTTGCAGTAATGTTAGTTTACCTGTCCAATAGGATGAAAGCCAGTTTTTATATTCTAAACAACGCGGCGGTCTCTCCATGACTCAAACGCCTTTCCGATGTTGACCGTAGTATTGTAGTCATGACCGCCCCAAACCGAGACCAAGTCAAGACCAAGACTTTTAGGGGCTGAGACCGAATCTAGACCAAGTCGAGACCAAGACCAAGGGAGGGCGAGAACGAGTCAAGACCAAAACCAGTTTCCCACATTACATGACACAATAAAATGTGGAACGAGATCATAGGTACTTCTCACATTGATCTGAAGGATCCATATTCCCATTAAAACACCCACATACAAACACTAAGAGCTGAAATCAACGTAAGCATCGCCATCGGCAGGAAGGGTGACAGTCGTTAACAGTAACAACACAAGGTTTAATCAAGGTTATTGGTTGCATTTGAAGCAATACGTTTTACATCTAATCAAAGTTAGGATGTTAACAAATAAATCAGACAATGCAAAAGCAATTTATTGATATTCCCAAAGTTATTGTCGACTGATCTTGAAATAAAATCCAGAGTCCTCAATGTCCAAGACTGAGTACAAATGCCGTTGAGTCCGAGACGATACCAAGACCATCAAAATTGGTCTAGTTGACCGTGTTTTCGCTTGACATCCATCTGATTCTCGTTTGGCCTGACGGGCATAAAAGTTTTTTTGTTGTTTTTCGTCCTTACGCGGAATTGTGAGCCTGTGTTGTGCTCGGAGTTGGTCGTTTTTTGGTGTTAGACTCCATTTCGTTAGCTGCGGAGTTGTCGCAATGTACAGTTCAGAATCGGCAGGCAAGAGGCTCAGGAGTGCGCATGAACGTCACAGCCTATGTAAACTAATGGATTTCGGCAGAAAAAGATTTCTTCACATGTGAAGCAGCATAGAAGCTGTTCTAAGCAACAGAGAAAGCCGGTGAATGGTCATTTGTCAACCCGTTCACAAATCGTTAATTTCATTAAAAAACAACATAGGCCCTTTTAAAAAAGGGGGGAAAAAAAGAAAATTAAAATAATAAATATATCAAGATTATCCCCTTAACTGGATTATTCAATAAAACCTCTAAAACTTGAAATGTGCTGGTGGAGTCTGGAAACATGGAGTTCAGTTTACAGCGTATCAAAGGCGCATGTTAACACTTAAACCTGAGGAAGACCTAAACCAGTATACGGCTAACTCAGTCTGTGCATGTTAACACCGCAATTGTGCTGCCCCTTTGCTATTGCCAGGACCCCGGCTGGCTGTGTGAGAAAGAGTGCTACCTGGACATGCTGTCGTCCCCCCAACACACAGCTGAGGAGCTGCACATCCTCTGGGACAGGAAGAGGGCCTGTGGAGACCCCTGCGGTTGTCCCTGGGGCCACTAAACCTGGCTCACACTGCACTTACCAGGTGGCGCTGTGGGTAGAATGCACTCAACACCGGTTGTCAGTTCAGTTTCTGTGATGTTTTTCTTCATCAAAAAGAGTTGTTTCAGAGTTTTATCAACTATTATATAAAAATGCTTAGATTTTTAAGATTTTATGTTGCAAAATAATCTTAAAAACCTTCAAATTGCATTGCAGGTTCTTAATATTAACAAAAATACTGTGTCAACGTAATAAAAAATGTGCAGCTTCAGAATATGTTAAAAACTCATTTAGCTGTAGCACACTGTCAGTATTTGTATCATGAACTCTGTTATTAAATTTGAGATTGAAAATGTCTTCAGTGGAACAGACACAATGTGGAAACAGACTCATGGATTAAAAGATGTTTTAGTATGCGGTAACTGACAGGGGTGGACAAGAACCACGTGCAATACCAGCATGTGGTGGTCATCGTGTACAGAGTCGTTGCTGTAAGACCTGAGTACTAGGTAATATTATAAATATAAACGTTTTGGTTTAAAAGGGATATTTGATGAAGTTTTAAAGGTGATTGCTTTACATTGCTATATTTTGTAAATTATTGTCTTAAGCTCTTCATCCTCTTTACTATTTGTAGATTTAAGACAAGCTTTCTCACAAACACACAGATTGTACTGTAACTGTCATTGTGCAAATAGTGATGTGGCCTTACTGTATTTGTTAGGCGTCAGACTGTATGTATGTTCACACATGGTATCGACACGGATTTAAATGAGTGTATTTGCAACACAAACTTTTGGAACTTGACCAAGCAGTCAGAGTGACTGTGAAATAGACTCAGTTGTTTGACACTGGTTTTATGAAACCCTCCTCAGAGGTAATAAAGAACACTTCAGAGAGATTTGTGACTTCCGTGTTGTTTATTTTGGGGATTATGCAATCGGTAAACTCAGGTGCTGCTGATTCTGTGTCGGATCCATGTTGAGTCTGTATCTTTGTTTTAGCCGTTTGTGCTGCTCAGTCGGCAACCGGAGACACACAGTCAGCAAACACACTTTGCTCATGCTGTTACAGAAGTCTGTTTTTTTTTTTTTCAACTTAAAAGGAATATGGAATCACTTTGATCTCTACTGGTGATTGTTTTTCTGAGACAATAAACCAGACCCCGCTGGAATTACGTACAGGGAAACCTGTGAAGTGTGTTAGCCCCAAATCAATCAGGGACGTCATGTTAATCAATAGGACTGAACACATCCAGCCATCAGCTTGTAGACACTGAACCTTTTAAAATGTTGACATAAAGCAAATGTGGCAAGATGTTTTGAGCCTTCACTTAGCGTTTAGTTGCTGCAGTGATTTGATTGTTTATTGAAGCAGAGCCATGTTATTGATTCTGAGTCACAAAAATTATGCCTCGCTGTATATTTTTGTAGATCATGAAACATAAGACAAGTTGTTTGTTTTATTTAGGCCTTTCCTACCTGCCAAGAAATCTGTTCCTGCAATTAACCTGACATTGGAGCACACATTCCCTTTCCTCTGAACACCACCCCTCCTCTCCCTCCACATCTTATCCTTTCGCCTCCCCTCTTTCAGTGAGCTGCATGATAACAAAGTCATATCCGCATGTGTTCCTCTCTCCTACATAGATAAGGATGGCATTTTTCACCCCATCAGCCTCACTCACTGATTTGGCTTGAAGCCCTTCATTGTGAACCCAGTGAGAAGCATGGAAATAACACTCGCATGAAAACAAGAGCTCATTTCTGCCCTAGTGCTTCTTTAGAAGATGGAAGTTATTGCATTGATCTAAACTGTGATGAGCGCTGTGGGTTTATTGTCACTCAACGATGTAAAATGTTGAAATTATTAGCATTTTATTATTTTAAAATCTTCTGCCTCTTTTTTTCCATGTGTGTGAGCCCTGCCATACATAATCATTCAACCAGGCAATCAAATCAACCACATCAACCTCTGTGGCAATGTGTGGCAAATTGTAGTGTTCACCTAATAATTACAGTCGTGCATTGTATTATGAGTCTTCCTAGGCTTGTAATGTATTATCTCAAATTATTTCCTGCCAGTATACAATGTGTGGCGTTTATATAATGTGTAGTGTATTCTGATGAAAACTGCTTCATATACGGAGGGAGGGGGGTGCTCAAGTATTGGCAAAAGCAATCATTAAATGGTGTGAAATAATTTTGTGTGAAAGAGGAACGCTACTCAAGAATTCCTTTGTTCTCTGAGAGATCAATATTTGTGAACAAAGTTGTTACCAAAGCTGGATGGTTAAAGAGTAAAGTATAACTAGAAAAAATATATCTAATCAAAACAGGGCATAATGAAAAGATCTCAGAATATCTGATCCATCCATATGTTTAATATGAATAAACCCCACACGTTTTGAATTGTGTCTGCCCTTAAGCGCATGTGTAATCTTTTCTAAGCGACGACAAGAGTACAATTCCCTGAACCACTGACTTATTTTCACTCTATTAATATTTTTCCATGAAAGTGCAATCATCCGTTTAGACTGTGACAAGCACTGCTCTGAGGAACTAGAGGGAACTTGGGCGCTCGAGTTAATTGTATTTATAAAATCCTTTTCATCTCTTCTCACCTCTTCTTAAAACTCATCTTGTCGAGCTACAGACTGAATACAAGAGTGTGTTGACATTACAAATTTTAGTCTTATTTCCTTGATGTCCGAATTTGGCAAACATTTAATTTTAGTTTTTCTTTATTGTCTGACTTACAGCTATCAGATGAGTGCCCCTTAATCAACACCTCTCACCATGTTCCAAAGAAGCAGTGAATTGATTATAAACTGATATTTAACACTACATATTATATAAAAGTGGATATTGTTACAATACATTACTGTCATACAGTTTAATTGTCAATGTTTAGGTCAGTTTGGCCTTGTTTGCATTCATACTACCATTTGGAGTCATGGAAACTTGATGTTTCAACCATTCATCTGTTTCTTTTAGCAAAATATTTCAAAAGTTCCATTACTTTAAGCTATTGTAACCATTTATTCATTACTTTTAGGTATTTCAATTGTTTATACATTACTTTTAGCTAACTATTTCAACAGTTTATTCATTACTTTTAGCTAACTATTTAAATTTTTATTCATTACTTTTAGCTAAATATTTAAACCATTTATTCATTACTTTTAGCTAAATATTTAAACTGTTTATTAATTACTTTTAGCTATTTCAACCGTTTATTCATTACTTTTAGCTAAATATTTCAACTGTTTATTCATTACTTTTAGCTAAATATTTCAACTGTTTATTCATTACTTTTAGCTAACTATTTCAAATGTTTATTCATTACTTTTAGCTAAATATTTCAATAGTTTATTCATTAGTTTTAGCTAAATATTTCAGCAGTTTATTCATTACTTTTAGCTAACTATTTCAATAGTTTATTCATTACTTTTAGCTAACTATTTCAGCTGTTTATTCGTTACTTTTAGCTAAATATTTCAACTGTTTATTCATTACTTTTAGCAGTTTCTGCAGTTTATTCATTACTTTTAGCTAAATATTTCAACAGTTTATTCATTACTTTTAGATAAATATTTCAGCCGTTTATTAATTACTTTTAGCTAACTATTTGAACATTTTATCCATTACTTTAAGCTATATCAACGTTTATTCATTACTTTTAGCTAACTATTTCAACTGTTTATTCATTACTTTTAGCTAACTATTTCAACCGTTTATTCATTACTTTTAACTAACTATTTCAACTGTTTATTCATTACTTTAGCTATTTCAGCAGTTTATTCATTACTTTTAGCTAACTATTTCAACTGTTTATTCATTACTTTTAGCTAACTATTTCAAGTTTATTCATTACTTTTAGCTAACTATTTCAGCTGTTTATTCGTTACTTTTAGCTAACTATTTCAACCGTTTATTCATTACTTTTAACTAACTATTTCAACTGTTTATTCATTACTTTTAGCTATTTCAGCAGTTTATTCATTACTTTTAGCTAACTATTTCAACTGTTTATTCATTACTTTTAGCTAACTATTTCAACTGTTTATTCATTACTTTTAGCTAACTATTTCAACCGTTTATTCATTACTTTTAACTAACTATTTCAACTGTTATTCATTACTTTTAGCTAAATATTCAGCAGTTTATTCATTACTTTTAGCTAACTATTTCAACTGTTTATTCATTACTTTTAGCTAACTATTTCAACCGTTTATTCATTACTTTTAACTAACTATTTCAACTGTTTATTCATTACTTTTAGCTATTTCAGCAATTTATTCATTACTTTTAGCTAACTATTTCAACTGTTTATTCATTACTTTTAGCTAACTATTTCAACTGTTTATTCATTACTTTTAGCTAACTATTTCAGCAGTTTATTCATTACTTTTAGCTAACTATTTCAACAGTTTATTCATTACTTTTAGCTAAATATTTCAACCGTTTATTCATTACTTTTAGCTAACTATTTCAACCGTTTATTCATTACTTTTAACTAACTATTTCAACTGTTTATTCATTACTTTTAGCTAACTATTTCAAATGTTTATTCATTACTTTTAGCTAAATATTTCAGCAGTTTATTCATTACTTTTAGCTAACTATTTCAACTGTTTATTCATTACTTTTAGCTAACTATTTCAACTGTTTATTCATTACTTTTAGCTAACTATTTCAACTGTTTATTCATTACTTTTAGCTAACTATTTCAATGTTTATTCATTACTTTTAGCTAAATATTTCAACTGTTTATTCATTACTTTTAGCAGTTTCTGCAGTTTATTCATTACTTTTAGCTAAATATTTCAACAGTTTATTCATTACTTTTAGATAAATATTTCAGCCGTTTATTAATTACTTTTAGCTAACTATTTGAACATTTTATCCATTACTTTAAGCTATATCAACCGTTTATTCATTACTTTTAGCTAACTATTTCAACTGTTTATTCATTACTTTTAGCTAAGTATTTGAACATTTATCCATTACTTTAAGCTATATCAACCGTTTATTCATTACTTTTAGCTAACTATTTCAACTGTTTATTCATTACTTTTAGCTAACTATTTCAACCGTTTATTCATTACTTTTAACTAACTATTTCAACTGTTTATTCATTACTTTTAGCTATTTCAGCAGTTTATTCATTACTTTTAGCTAACTATTTCAACTGTTTATTCATTACTTTTAGTAACTATTTCAGCGTTATTCATTACTTTTAGCTAACTATTTCAACAGTTTATTCATTACTTTTAGTAACTATTTCAACCGTTTATTCATTACTTTTAGCTAACTATTTCAACTGTTTATTCATTACTTTTAGCTAAATATTTCAACAGTTTATTCATTACTTTTAGCTAACTATTTCAATGTTTATTCATTACTTTTAGCTAACTATTTCAACTGTTTATTCATTACTTTTAGCTAACTATTTCAACCGTTTATTCATTACTTTTAACTATTTCAACTGTTTATTCATTACTTTTAGCTATTTCAGCAGTTTATTCATTACTTTTAGCTAACTATTTCAACTGTTTATTCATTACTTTTAGCTAACTATTTCAACTGTTATTCATTACTTTTAGCTAACTATTTCAACCGTTTATTCATTACTTTTAGCTAACTATTTCAACTGTTTATTCATTACTTTTAGCTAACTATTTCAACTGTTTATTCATTACTTTTAGCTAACTATTTCAACTGTTTATTCATTACTTTTAGCTAACTATTTCAACTGTTTATTCATTACTTTTAGCTAACTATTTCAACTGTTTATTCATTACTTTTAGCTATTTCAGCAATTTATTCATTACTTTTAGCTAACTATTTCAACTGTTTATTCATTACTTTTAGCTAACTATTTCAACCGTTTATTCAT